TCTGTTGAAAGTGATCCACGTTCTGGAAGGATGCAACAAGCAGAACACCTGAGAATGTTGAACATCTAAGGATTAGGTTAAGAGATGCTGGGACAACGGTGTGAGGTTCCAAGGTGCCTACTTTGAAGGGGATTAAGGTGTCATTGTCCTATGGACAATGTTTCTTGTATCTTGTATCTTCTTCAATAAATGTGTCTATTTTTCATATTACATGGCTGGATACTTTCCGGACAGACCTCACATATCCACAAGAAACATCAGCAAACAGGGAACCGTGTCCTCTCTAAGAGGACAAAACAAAAAGCCCCAGATTGACCCTAATGAGATGGCAATTTGTTAGTTCTCTAGCCAAGCACTCAAAATAGCAGTTTTAGGGAAACTCAGTGATCTCCAAGATAACACAGAAAAGCAATTCAGAAATTTATCAAAGAAATTCGACAAAGAGATCAAAATAATCATTTAAAAAATCAAACAAATCTTGGAACTGAGAAGCATGTTTGCTGAACTGAGAAACTCTTTGGAGCCTCTCAACAGCAGAATGAACCAAACAGAGGATAGAATGAATGAGCTCGAAGACTGGCTATGTGAAAATACACAATCAGGGGGAAAAAAATGAAAAAAGAATGAAAAGGAATGAAGGCCACTTATAAGATATAGAAAATTACCTCAGAAGACCAAATATAAGAATTATTGGTGTTCAAGAGGGAGGTGAGCAAAAGCAAGGGGTAGAAAACTTATTCAAAGAAATAACAGAAAACTTCTCAAAACTTGAGAAAGTTATAAATATCTGAGTACTGGAAGGTCTTTGAGCACCAAGCAGATTCGACCCAAATAAAACTATCCCAAAGCATTTAATAATCAAACTTTCCAAGGTCAAGAACAAAGAGAAGATCCTAAAAGCAGCAAGAAGTAAGAAGCAAATAACATGAAAAGGATCTCCAATTCATCTGGCAACAGACTTTTTAACAGAAACCCTACAACCAGGAGGAAATGGAATGATGACATTCTCAAAGTACCCAAAGGAAAAATATGACAACCGAAGAGGACAGAGGAGAGGAGATGCAGCTCAGGTGTAGATTATAGAGGTGCTGGAGCCTGCCGGGGACCTCATGGAGGAAAATTGTGAAGCAGAGAAGGAAGAAGGTAAAGGAAAAAGGATGTCGGTGAGGATCAAACCCAGAGAGGCTCGGAGCCCAGTGAAGGGATAAGGATGGATCCCTCTGTCCCTCCCATGCACCTTTGATGACCAGTGGGCTACCAAGCTTCTTGGAGACTTTTCCACCCCCATGAGTCCGGTCATGGCAGCAAACACAGACTAGTGATCCCAGAGCTTGTACATTCTGTGCGAGGTTCCCCTCCAAGGACAAGGGGACTCACGACCATATCATCCCTCTGACCCTGAGGTTGCTAATCAGTCTGCCTTCTCTCCATCTTGCAGTGTCTTCTTGGGTTTGTTTTACATACAGTGTCCACAGTTTTAACTATACTTAGTAGGAGGGATAGCGACAAGTATTTTTACTCCATCTTTCTGGGCAGGGAAATCAAGTACCAGAAATTTTTATTATTGCCCTGGCAACCCAGGAGAAGGAGGAATATAGCTTTGGGTCACTGTATATGTGGGAGAGGGGGAGAAGCTGTCCACAGCAGTAGCTTGGGATGCAGCAACATGGTGGCAGGCTGGAAATGGGGAGAAGTCGCTGGTAAGCAGTTCCCCTTGTGGCAGGTGATAGCTGATGAATGAGTTGGAAACAATGGTGTCTGATGTTTCATTTGAAGCAATTTCCTTCTCTGTCTTCCAGTTACTCTGCATTTCCTCCTAAATCTTTAGTAAGCACTGATTGTACACAGCACCCTAGTAGCACAGAATGAGGGAGATGAAGGAGAAGGTTATGCAGTTGTGTCTGGGGCCAAGAAGAGTGAGAGAGGTGGTGAGGCCAATGATGAAGGGCCTGCCAGAGTGATGGAGGCCTGAGCCGTTAGCATCTGCTGAAGACCAAGCAGGACATTGCCAGGTAGAGTCACTGCAGGAGCCTGCATGTTCTCAGAGCTCAGTGGAGAGGCAGTGAAAGCAGGGACAAGTAGCTGAGTCATTATGAGAAAGAGAGTTTTGTGGTGGAGGAGGCGACAACTTGGCTTGGTTTACTCAAAGCTCACTGCTCTGTTGCTGGAGTGAAGAGAAGCACCTCTCCTCTTGCGTGTGGAGGGAAGCTATTTGCATAGATTCCAAAAGAAGCTCGTGCAGTTCCGGCCCACTGAGTGCTCTTGCTCCCACACACTCCTGACTCCTTGCTCTTCTCCAGGTGGGGTCTGAAGTGGAGTCAGGTCATGGGCCTGCCGTTCTTCTCCCTCCAAGTGCTCTTCACTCCAGCAATACCCTACCCTGCTTCATGGATCCTGAGCTCAGAGCTCCTAAAGCATCAAACCCAATGGAGCAGAGATGCTCTCAGCATGGGCCTGGGCGGTTGCTTCCCGGGGGCCAGGCCAGCAAGAATGACTCAGCTCACCAGCCAACCTATGCAAGCTGAGTGCATGCATTTGGGGGCAATGGGAAGCATAGAGAGTGGGATTTGTGATAAACCTCTAACCATGTTCCATTTTTTCTAAGACTTGTTTGCTTTGGAAACCTAGAAATGGAGAAACAACAGGGGGCTGCACCATGCTATGCTTATTATATTCCTGGAGTGGAGAGGCTGCTGCTGGGTTTCCACAGCATGGGGTGGCCTTGGTCCACGCAGCAGGGCAGCAGGCAGGCAGGGGGAGTTCTTCCTTTGTGCCTCCTTTTACAGTCAATGCCAGCGCATCTCCCCAAATCATCGTTGCTAACATCTAAGTCTTAATCTAAGTTGTTATCTCCTACTCCCCAGGGTGAACTGATCTCTCTGCCCATGGAGCCTGTGGAGCACCTGTAGGGTGAATCTCCATCCCCGCAGTGCGGGCTGTGTTCCAGAGGACTGTCCCCGCAGCTGGTGAAGCAGCCCCAGGGAGGGTCAGTGGGGAGGGAGGCTGCTGTGGTTGGCTAGGCCAGAGTGGGGGGCCTGGAGGAGGTGGGAGGGGCAGACCCAAGAAATGAGCATGAGCGGACTGAGTGGGGAGCTAGGAGGTGCTCAGGGCTGCTGGCACAGAGACAGCCGAATGTCATCGTCAAGAGAAGTGTGGACGAGCTTGGTTTGGGACGTGTTGAATTCGAAATGTCCTCAGCATGATCCTGAGCTCCACAAAGACGTCTGGCTGAAGACTGAGCTAGAGAGAGATTTGTGATGCAGCAAGGGTGTGCAGAGCAGAGGTTCTTGCCTGGCTTTAATCCCACACCCTGGCACTTAAAATGACTATTGTGTTTTACTTTCATAGTTTGTATCATGAAATTGATAATGATGACAGTAGCTGTTACTGGCTGAGTTATGTCCCTCCAAAATTCATATATTGATTTCCTACTCCCAGTACTCAGACGTGTTTGTATTTGGAGAAAGGCTCTTTAAAGAAGTAATTAAGCTAAAATGAGTTCATTAGGGTGGGCCCTAATCCCATAGGACTGGTGTCCTTATTAGAAGAGGAAATTGAGACACGGACACACAGAGAGGAAAGACCGTGTGAGGACACGGGGGGGAGACGGACGTCAACAAGACAAGGAGTGAGGCCTCCGAAGACACCAGCCCTGCACACACGTGGATCTCAGGCTTCCGCCTCCAGAACGGTGAGCAATAAATTTCTGTCGTTCCAGTCCCCAGTCTGTGGCACTTTGTGATGGCAGCCGGAGCAGACTGATGCAGTAGCCAATACTGGATACCTACTATATGTCAAATAATGTTTTAAGCACTTTACATATTTCAACACGTTGAATAGTCCCAGCAACCCCATTCGTAGTAGGTGGTACAGTCCATTGTGTGACAGCTGTACTGGTGCCTTCGGCTCCCCCAGGAGGGGCGCGCACCCCACCTCCCAGCCTGTCCTCCTGCCCTCCCTTCTCCCTGAGGCAGTAATCCTCCAGGTTCTTAGGTGTCCCCCTCCCCGTCCCACGCTCAGCAACATGTCCTGGTTGTCTGCAAGACCCTCCCCCACCTGTTACTAGCCACTGCCCTGCGGGGTTGTTCTTCTGTACGCTTGTCATTACCTGCCACGATGCAACTGGCAAAATAAAGTCAGTAATGATAGTCACTGCTAGCATGCAATGGGCAGGTACTCTCCAATGTCTCCTTTGTTCTCCTACAGCCACCCTAATGAGCAGGGACACATTGTCCTTCTCTTTGTAACTTTGCCTTTTAGAGAGAGAGGCTGGGGGTCAGGGAGACTAGGTGAGATTTCCCAGGTCACACAGGAACAGGAGTGAAGGACGGAAGCCAGGTTTGCTAGGAGAAACTGCACTGCTCTGCAGGCTTTCTGTGGAAGGCACGGTGCCTGTTCTCTGTGGATTGGCAAAGTCTGAGGTCCTGGACAGAAAGGAAAGGAATATAAATATGAGAATGAATGTTTGTGCGTGTATTTGGCTTTTATCGCTAAAATTCTTATTTTGTATATTAATGAAGGCAGGATTTTGCCTGTTTTGTTCTCTGCCATATCCTCATTGTCTAAAATAGGTACCTACTACTGTTGAGCTCTAAAAAAAATATTGGAGAAAGGAAGGAAGGAAGAAAAGAAAGGAAGAAAGGAAGGGAGGGAGGCACTGAGGGAAGGAGGGAGGGAGGAAGCAAAGAGGAAGGGATTGCTCTTCTCCCACAGTGGGCCCAAGCCTGTCAGCCCCAAAGCTATAGAGCTTTGACCTTTGCCTATAAAGAATTTGAAGCCACCCACCCAATGCTCCCCACAGTCCGGACAAGGTTCTCTGGCCCCACTGGCCACATGAGTGTCCTCAGAGGGAGCAGACGTAGGTGGAGGGAACTCCTTGTGACCAGCAGAGAAAACAGGGTGGGGCACAGCCTCACCAAGTGCCCGTGGGTTGGGGGAGAGCCAGTGCCAGCAGCAGCTCTATAAAGGCTCCCTGGCTGGAGCATCGCAGGAGGGCAGTGGTTTCTACCCCTGCATCCCAAGAAGGGGCCAGGAAAATGGCCCTGGTCCTGTGGCTCTTCAGCCTGCTGGGCTCAGCCTGCTTGGTGTCTGCCAACATCTTTGGTGAGTTCTGAGGCCATGGAGTCAGGGGTGGGGAGGGAGCTCCAGTGTCAGCCAGGCTCTGCCCCAGGACCTCTGAACATGTGTGATTTAATTTGATCCCCCAAATGCCCAGATGTTTGGTTATTTGCTCTTCCCTCTTCAGATGAAGAGACAGAGGCTCAGGGAGGTGAACTGAATTGCCTGAGGTCACAGAGCTAGTGGTTGGTGGAGCAGAGATGGGAAACTTGATCTTCCTAATTCAATCCTAGCTCCCCTCACCCCAGCCTGTTAGTGGGTTTTGGTATTGACCATGGCTTTTTATCCTCCTAGCTATCCCAAAGTCTATGTCATCTATGCAAGGTATTTAAGAAGTAGCTAGCAGGTAGAAGAAAAAATAAACCTACCTGTGCAGTGAAATAGACCTAAGTTCTATCCTGGGCTTAGCCCCTTACGTATGTGACTTTTGGCAAAGTGCCAAGCTTCAGTTTCTTCATTCAAAAGGAAGCAAACAAAACTTACTTCATGATGCGGTTGTGATTTCTGAGTAAGATCTTGCATGTTATATGGGTTTTCCATGTCCTTAGGGTGTTCTGACCTAATCCAATAGCACATGGGGAGTGGGCGATTTGCAGTCCCGGGGTTGGATTTGAAATCCTTTCCTTGCCAGCTGTGTGACCTTGGGCAGTTACTTTCACTACCTGAGTCTTGATGCCATGTGAGTGACATGGAAATATTACCTGTCACCTCTCGGGGGAGTGCTGAGCATTACATGAGCTAAGGTCACACTTGGAGAAGCACACCTGGCTGCCAAGTGCAAGTTGGGCTGTGACAGGTAATGAGGATGCTGCTGGAAAGGCATCTGTGACCACGAGAGCCGGTCCCTGCCACTGGGGCCCAGGCCACACTCTCCTCTGATGAGCCGCTCCCTTCCCCAGAGTACCAGGTGGATGCCCAGCCACTTCGTCCCTGCGAGCTGCAGAGGGAAAGGGCCTTTCTGAAGCAAGCGGACTACGTGCCCCAGTGCTCCGAGGATGGCAGCTTCCAGTAAGTCTGGCTTCACAGTGGACTCTCAGGGGCCTCAGGTGCCCTACGGGGACAGACTCTCAAGGTCCTAGGGTGCCTTCTCCCTTCTAACCGAGCTAGCCCTTTGAACCCCTCTGTGCACACGAGACCTGGCCGCTGTCACTTGGAGGTGCCCCCTCTCAGTTCCCCAGGCTAGTGAGCACTGGACGATCTGCCCGAGCCAGCCCCAAGCCATACTTCATCCTGCCCTGCCCACTGCCCACTGCCCTTCCTTCTTTTCCTGCCAACACTGTCACTGTGACTGTGATTGCTTTAATAAAAGGTGTCTGTGGTGGGGGAGAGGTCAAATGGTCTGTGCGTTGGCACCTCCACTCCCCTTAATATCCTCTTGAGAAGTTGGGGTGGAGGGAGGCAGAGGCTGTCCGCGGCCTTTCCGGTCTGCCGCCTCCCACCCTGCCCAGGCCAGCTCTCTGGGCTGGGCTGCTGTTTCCTCAGTGAGCTCCTCTCTGAAAGGGGTTTCTCAGCTGCCCTAACACAAACTGGGGTCCTGAGACTCTCTGCAGAAAGTGTGGTGATAATCTGAACAACTCTTTCCTATAAATAGATAGGAATCCTTGATAATGTGCCTTCAATGGAAATTTCCACGGCTATTCCAGGGGGAACTCTGTCTTTATGACTGTTCTGGGAAACATCCGAAAAACACCCCCAACCCACCCCGCCATCTTATATACACTCTTAATATGCCCGACCTCCCAAGAGCACAAGGAGATGCTGCTAGTCCAGTCCCTGCTTGGATCTCTGGGGATTCAGGAGTAGCAAGGAAGGAGCTAAGGAGGGTGTCTCACTTTCGCCAGCCTTATTGAGGTTCCTAGTCTCATGTCTTTCATTCCTGCCACTTGCAATGTCAAGCCTGCCCAGCCCTCAGGAGGCCTTGCATTTGCTGTTCCCTTTACCCGGAACCCCTTTTACCTTCTTACACCCGCTGACCATCCGCAGGTCTCAGTGCAGCCATCACTTCCCCTGGGGAACAACTCCACGGCCTGGTCTGATCCACGCCCACGTGCCTCCCAATATAACCTGCTGCCCATGACCTCGCTGGGTCCCCACACCCTGTCCTCATAATCAGGGCACTGCCTTTACCCTCTGCAGCCTCATAACCACCAAGGGCACTCGGTAGATGTGGCTGAAGCTGTGTGTTCCAGGTGGGGTACTTGCTTCGGGGCTGGCAGGCTGGGTGGCCGAGGCGGGAGTAGGTGCAGCTGTCAGCCAGGCAGGAAAATATTGTCCTTCCTTTCTAGGTCAGCCGCCCCCTCCACCCCGCTCTCTCCCCAGTTTAAATGAGCTAAAGCTTAGAAGAATGGAAAGGAAGAAGGAAGGTGACCTGGGCTGGAGCCAGGGTGTGGCTTTGGGAACCCATCACAGTGTCACCTGGTGTGTCTTTCCTCCTCAGGACTGTCCAGTGCCAGAACGACGGCCGCTCCTGCTGGTGCGTGGGTGCTGACGGCACGGAGGTCCCGGGCAGCAGGCGGCCTGGACGGCCAATGGCTTGTAAGTGTGAAGGGGGCACCAGGTGGGACAGGAGGGGCCTTGCTAGGATGACTCATCAGGAAATGAGCACTGGGCATGGGTGGGTGACAGTCAAGTCTCCCCTGGGTGGCTGGCTTCTCCTCTTTGAATGAGAATGGTCCTTGAACACCAAGCAAGGCCCTATTTCCTACAGGACCTCTGGCAAAATCAAATGAGACAATAGTTATTTGTTCAGCAAGTAGCTACCGAGTCCCTCCCATGTGCCAGGCACTGTGCCTGGTGCTGAGAAAACAGTGGTGAATAGACATTAGAGTCCCCTGAAATCAGACAATGGCCATGGAAACAGGAAGTGCTTTCTCACCTGTAGTGCGAGGACTTTCTAACATTTGGGACTTGGGTAAAACTATCCAGTTACGATAATTATCATGGTGAGTAGTCAAAGGAACACAGTCCCCATTTAAAGCATGACATAACCCTAAAACAAAGGTCAACTTAAGCCAATCACCTTAAAATGATGAAATTGAGCCTAAAAACCAAAGCTATCCTTTACTGGGTAAAAGCTCAGTTTTGGGCACTGGTTTTATGTGGCCGGCGTGGCTGTCAAGGGGTCAGGCTGGCTCTCCACACTCTCCTGCTGCATGGATGTGGCTGTCACGCACCCTCACTGGGCTACTGTTCCTCCTCTGTGACATGAGTGTAGGATCTGCCTCACGGTGATGTTGTGAGGATTCAAAGCCCATGTCAACACCAGGCAGATGGTAGGTACTCAACAGGCGCAATCGTTGTTAACGCCTTAGTTCTTTGCGTTGCTATAAAGGAATGCCTGAGGCTTAGAAATTCATAAGAAGAAGAGATGTACTTGGCTCACGGCTCTGCGGGCTGCAGGAGAAGTCATGCACAAGCAGCTGCTCCTGGCGGGGGACTCAGGCTGCTTCCACGGACGGAGGAAGGCGAAGGGGAGCTGGTGTGTGCACATCACACGAAGGGAGAGGAAGCAAGAGAGACAGGGAGAGCTGCCAGGCTCTTTCTAACAACCACCTGTCCTGGGAGCTGATAGAGACCTCACTAGCCCCCGAAGGAGGGCATCAATCTATTCATGAAGGATCCGTCCCCATGACCCAAACACCTCTCACTAGAGTTCACCTCCAACATTGGGGATCAAATTTTAATATGAGACTGGGGGGGACGCATATCCAAACTATGGTGGTCCACATCCCTAACTCTCGCGCACCGGGAAGCAGGCAGCAGTATTTCGACTCTGCAGGGAAGGAGAGTGGGGCGCGTAGTGCAGCAGCTTCCCCAGGGTCATGCAGTGAGCACGTGGAAAAGTCTGGATACAGACAAGCTCTGGGAAGGCCTGGACTCTGTTCCCACCTCCCCTCTGCAGCGCCAGGGCTGTGGGGTGTATGGCTGAGTGACGTGGCACAGTGACATCTGCCCTTCTCTCACTCAGTCCACGAGATGCTAGAACAGTCTGAACGCAAGGCCTGAGACTGCCACCAACTCACTGAGTGTCTTCGGGCTGGTCCTTTCCCTCTCAGCTGTGTCCCTTGCGAGGGAGCACGAGTCTCCATCGGTTCAGCCCCCTGGAAGTTTCCCAGCAGCACCACCTGACACTGCTCTTTGTACCCGCAGGTCTGTCCTTTTGTCAGCTGCAGAAACAGCAGATCTTGTTGAGTGGCTACCTTAACAGCACGGCCACATCCTACCTCCCTCAGTGCCGGGACTCGGGGGAGTACACACCCGTCCAGTGCGACGTGCGGCGGGAGCAGTGCTGGTGTGTGGACGCGGAGGGCTTGGAGGTGTACGGGACCCGCCAGCGGGGCAGGCCGAGGCGATGTGAGTCCACTGAGCACCTGCCCCGGCGGGGGGGCAGCTTTCCTCACTGTAAACCAAAACGTTCAGGGCCCCTGACAACATGGGCAGAGAGCTTGGCCCCTCGATGGGGAAAATGAAAGCGTTATGATAGCAGGTTTCATTACTTCTAATATTTCCATTTGGTAGACAATCCACATGCCCTGGCTGATCATCGGATGCATAAGCAGGATTTAAATGAGCATTTGCAAGTCTCCTGTTACAGACCTTAGTCACTGTTTGGGCCTCTAACTATGTGATGGTGGTCCCATAGGATTTACAGGAAGCTGAAAAATTCCTATGGCCTAGTGATGTCTTGATGATCCTGACCTGTGTCGGCCAACACGGGAGTGTGTGTTTGGGTCTTAGTTTTTAACAAAAAAGTTTAAAAAGTAAATAAATAGAAAATCTAAAAATAGAAAAAAGCTTGTAAAATAAGGATATAAAGTATTTTTGTACAGCTATAAAATGTGTTTACGTTTTAAGCTAAGTGTTATTATAAAAGAGTCAAAAAGTTAAAATTTAAAGTTTATAAGGTAAAAAAAGTTACAGTAAGCTAAGGTTAATTTATTATTGAAGAAAAAAAAATTATACAGTAATGCCCTAGGTCTCACATTCTCTCAACACTCACTCACTGACTCATCCAGAACAACTTCCGGTCCTGTGAGCTCCAGTCCTGGTAAGTGCCCTATACAGGTATACCTTTTTTTAAATGTTTTCTACTATATATTTTTACTGTACTTTTCTGTGTTGAGGTATGTTTAG